TAAACTCAGAATGGCTCAGAGACTTAAATATGAGACAAAACACCATAAAACTCCTAGAAGAGAACATAGGCAAAACATTTTCTGATATAAACTGTACGAACGTTTTCTTAGATCAGTTTCCCAAGGCAACAGAAATAAAAGCAAAAATAAGCAAATCAGACCTAGTCAAACTTAAAAGCTTTTGCCCAGCAAAGGAAACCATAAAGGAAATGAAAAATGAAAAGAAAACATAGTGTACAAATGTATAGACTGGCAATGCATAAGAAAAAAACTGGAGGAATATACACCAAATATACAAATTATTATTATTTTTTTTTTTTCCTAGGGGAAAGCGCGAACGCAGTCCCCCACTACCACAAATTATGCAGTCGAGTTTCCCACATTTGGGGAAATCGCAGGGGTCAGCACATCCGGAGTGCAATGGATAAGCCTCGCCCTGGGAAAACCACCTTCGTGATCATGGTATCTCCCCTGCCAGGTAAGTATTCAAATTATTTTTTTTAAATGACTAGTGTTTGCATCTAAAGACACAGTTCATTATTTACTCCTGTAATGCTTTAACTTTTAACACTGTTTCAAAATAAGAATAGTTACGACTTCTTCTTGGAATACAGTAGCTCAGGACCCCATTGCTTAGCAAACTCCAGCTATGCACCACTGCTCTACATGGTAATAATTAATGAGCAGAGACTTCTGCTTTAGGGCTGAGATGAAAAATTTTAAAGTTTGTCATGTCCTCATTTATCCTGACCCACAACTGCATCTGAGACATCCCACCAACTGCCCATCCCATCATCAGAAATACAGCCTCTGGCAATGTACCTGGGGGTCTCCTTCCAAAATCCCAAAGTTCAACCCACAATTATTTCCTGAACTCCTGCTGAGGGCCAAGAACTCTGCCAGGGGCTGTGACAGACAAAAAGAAGGCAGTTATAACCTCTGCTCTCAAGGAACTTACAGCACAGATGGTTCCACATCAAGAGTTCCCTGATTTATTACTCTTATGATACCCTGCTAGGCCACTTCCAGGCCAGCAAACTAGAAGGGGGCCCTTTGTGATCATTTTCCTCCAGCAAATGAAAACAGCACATTTTTCTACTTTAGCATCACATGGGATGCCATGGCAACAGAGGGCTGTACCAAGAATTAGCTCAGTGATGACCAAGCCAACACAAATTGGCTTAATACTCACTGAGTAAGATTCTTGGAAGAAAACAAAGTTCAAATAAATAAATCTCTCTCCAGCTCTCAACAAGCAGAATTGTTTCCTTTCTTTCAGGGCTGTACTTCTCAAATACTTCTCTGTGCACTCTGGGTCAATGGAGCTATTCTCAGCTATCTAAGAGCTTAAGGGTCAATACTTTGACACAACTACAGCCAATTCGTATCTCACACTTAGGAAGCACTGAAGAAGATCAAAGCTGCCCACATAAAGTGCTCACACTTATTAAGTAAAATAAAAGCCTAAACCGAAGTCTCACTCGCTTAACTATGAACTTGTGAGTGACAGGGAACCCTAGTATGTATTAGTTCAGATTTGACAGACACTAGTATCTTCAGAGTAGTCCATTCCAAGTGAGGCACAGCTCCAGCTTAGTTTAAGAAGCAAACAGGTTTCCTGAAAGTTGCACTTTCTCATTTATACAACTTAATAGGAACTGCAATTAGACCTGGACCACTTACTGAGTTAGCAAGCCCGCCCTCCAATGAGTCAGCAATCCAAATGTCTTCAGGGGAACAACCAACTGCAACTACCCTCAGTAGAGGCACAGTTTTGCTAAAGCTTTGCCAGACGACTAGAAATTATCTCAAGGAAATATATAACATAAGGTAGCTTCCTACACAAGTCTCCATCTGAAGAGCAAACAGGCTTACTAAGATGAGATCCCCTTTTGACAAGGGATGAACTCTGGGAAGAATAGCCATTAGTAGTAACAGTGGCTTTCATTTCCTGAGTTCCAAGTGTGTTAAGCGTCTTATATAAGGGCTTCCCTGGTGGCTCAGATGGTAAAGAATATGCCTGCAGTGCAGGAGACCAGAGTTCAATCCCTAGGTTGGGAAGACCCCCTGGAGAAGGGAATGGCAAACCACTCTCCAGTATTCTTGCCTGGGAAATACTGTGGACAGAGGAGTCTGGCAGGCTACAGTCCATGGGGTCGCAAAGAGTAAGACATGACTGAGCAAGCATCTTATATGCACTCTCACTCCTCTCTCCAACCACATAAAGTAGGCGTGATTACTCCTATTATGGGATGAGCAAAATAGGACTCAAAGAACCTCAAGATATCATCAAAGTCAAGAACTGAACCTAATTTTTTCCAAAGCCCATACTTCTAACCACCAAATCTTCCTGCATCCCCAAGATACAATGAGACTGCAACAGTTGTGCGTGCCGCAAGGCACAGCAAGCCCTTCCCACTGGACAAAGATGCAACCGTTTCCTAGTGTGATGACAAAGATCTTCAACCAAGGAGCATAGTAAAGTCATCTAAGGAGGTTTTTGCTTTTTGAGGTATTTTTTGGCTGTGCCGACCGAGTCTTAGCTGAGGAACACAGGATCTTCAATCTTTGTTGCAGCATGCAGGATCTTTAGTTACAGAATTTGAACTGTTAGCTGAAACATGCAAACTCTTAGTTGTGGCATGTGGGATCTAGTTCCCTGACCAGGGATCAAACCTGGGCCCCCTGTATTGTGAGCAAAGTCTTAGTTAGCCACTGGACCACCAGGGAAGTCCCACATGGAGAGTTTTTGTTTTGTTTTTTTTTAAATAAAGATTCCTACCAGATTCCAGATACCCTGAATAAAAATCTCAGAGAATAAAACTCTTTAATTTGTATTTTGAAAAACCACCCCAGGAGACTTCAAGGCTGCCAAGGCTACACCATCTACCACATGCATAAATGTGCATGTGCAAACAGGACATACACATTGCTGTGCTCATCACAGGTTGTGGCCCCTGACATGTGCTCAGGGGCATAGCTGAATTTGTATGCATTCTTAAATCAGCAACCTATCACAGCCAAATTAGCTCCTATGCCAACAGAGCCAGACACTGAGATGCAGACAGAAGGCACAGGCCCCAGGCCAACTATGAGATGACACAACACAATAAACTCCAGAAGTAGTCACATGAAGTACAGAGGAGTCAACAGTTACATATGAAAGGAGGCGTTTCCAGGAAAATTAAATCTAAGGTGGATTTTAAGGGACAGATGTAAAATCTCCATACTGCTGGGGGGAAAGAAGAGAACTGCAAAGTGAGAAAATTGCATATCTAAAGCAAAATGGTATTAAAACACGAAGTTAAGGGCAGATTCACATACTTCCAACACCAAACTGTAAACAGGAGACAGAAAGGCCCAGGTGTTGACTCGAGGTTATGCCTCTACCAGATTATGAAAAGACCTGAACGTCTTGCTTTGAGGCTTGGCCTTTATCCTGTAGGTACCAAGGGGCCAGTTTTAGGCAATGAAAGGACTTATTCAGATTTTTCAAGTGGGAATTAGCACTTCACAGCTTCAAGGAGAGGGAGTGAACGTGGGGAGCAGGATTTCCCCTTATAAAAGTAGAGGGATAACTGGTTTGCAAAGCAGGCGACCCGGCTCGACTTGAGTGTGTTCTTCCCCAGCCTGAATAAGGAAGCAAACAGCTGTCCCCCAGCCCTGGCGTTCAGTCGCAAAGGAGGAGGTGTGGAGTAGCTGCCAGACACGAGAAGGCAGTGAGGACAACCAGGTTAGTTCACCCTGACCAACGCCGACCGGTTGGCCAGCAGGCAGGTCAGCTGACCACGTCCACCTGGCCCTGAGATGGGCTACCCAGCACAGCAGCATGTTCAAAGCCAGTTAAGTCGTGGACACTGGGGACCCCAAGCAGCCACAGCCTGGCCTGCTCCGCAGTCCCGTAGGCCCCGGCGCAGCCTGCATGGGCCGAGGACTTCGGGCATGGGCCGAGGGCTCCGGGCTGGGCAGGAATGGGCCCAGTGCTCCAGAAAGCGACCGGAGCTGCAGCTCGTCAGCCCCTCCCGCCCATGGGGCCGTCGCCCTGAGCTGGGCCGCCTCACCTCGCGCGAGCGGCGGGCTCTTCGGCGTCTGAGCGACTGTGCTGACCCTCTCCGGGCCGCGGGTATAGCCACGGCCACCACCGCTGCCGCCATCCTCAGGCGTCAGCGTCGTGGCGTCATCACAGCGCGCGCTTGACGCCAAAACAAATCCCAGCCTCCCACGGGGCGGGGCGGAGGCAGGCTCGGGAGAGCCGGCTACGCGGTTGGTTGCGCTCCGAGCCTGTCCTGCCAATCAACGTCTTAAGTACAGCGTTGTTCTCTTTTCCCGGAGGGAGTGAGTCTGTGTTTCCAGGTGTCTCGACCCTAGGTTTGGGCAGGCACCGTGGGTAGTAGGGGGAAAGTCCCAAGATCCTGGTTGATGTGGAGTGCGAGGTTGGGGACGTAGTGCATTTTAAGGGGTTTCTGGAAGTGTCTCTGGAACTCCGCAAAGGATCGGTCTAAATGTAATTAAGAAATCTATATTTTTTTAAACTGCCGTTAAAATAATTCAGGCACTCAGATGTGTTGAATTTGACCTCCATCACAGCGGAGCTGGAAGTAGTTAACTTGAGAATCGGTGAAATTAGTTTGGGGCCAACTACAGAAGTAACTTTTTTTTTTCTTGTCCGTTTTAAATGTTGTTATTTTGACTGAATTTAAGTATTGATATACCCTGCAAAGCAAGTAGATTAAAGAAAAAAATTGTTACCATTAACAATTCTATAGGATTAGAATTATCTACAATCAACCCAGTTGTGGGTAGGGAGCAAAAAATGTTAATAGATGTCTCAATAAAGGTGTTTTTACCTCCTTTTAAAATACTTTTACCATTACTGTTGGAGTGCAATGTGGAACTTTTCACCGGGCAACCAGAAAAGAACCTAGGTTCTTTCTTCAAGGCAAGAGCATTCTTTCTAAGCTGGCTATGCCCCAGTAGGAATCATCACAAAGGAAAGATACCGTAGTCGGCAGGATTTGAACCTGCGGGGGGGAACCCCAATGGATTTCTAGTCCATCACCTATAACCACTCGGCCACGACTACTTTCAGGTAGTAAGAGGATTGTAATCTCCATACATCTTCCTCATTTCAGTCAGTTTATTAAAATTTTTATTGAACTCTTATTTCATACATGGAATTGTCTTTGACTGTATAAGTTAATCTTATACTTTAAACCTAAACATATATTAACATCATAAGACATGGCCTGTTTTATGTCCTAGGGCTTCATAAAAGATTAAAAAAATAAAACTTTTAGGGATTTCCCTGGTGGTCCAGTGGAAGACTCTGTGTTTTCACTGGGGGGGTACAGGTTTGATACCTGGTTGGGGAACCAAGATCCCTGCAAGCTGCTTGGCCAAAAAAAATAAACAAACTTTAAAAATTATTTCCATATGTCTAGTGTGATGCATAAAAGGAATGAACTTAGGGGCCAAACAAACGGAATTATATCCCAGCTCCGACACTTCCATAGTTGCATGAACTTAAGGAAGATATCTTCCCCTCCCTAAACCCTATGTTGGTTTGTTTGTTTTCTTTTTTAAAAATTTTATTTATGTAGTCTGAACTGGGTTTTTGTTGCTGTGCTTTGGCTTTCTCTAGTTGCAGCAAATGGGAGCTATTCTTTGTTGTGGTGCACAGGCTTCTTACTGTGGTAGTTTCTTTTGTTGCAGAGCAAAGGCTCTTAGGCATGCAGGCTCAGTAGTTGTAGCCCGATAATATGTGGGATCCTCCTAGACCAGGGATTGAACCTGTGTCCCCTGCATTGGCAGGTAGATTCCCAACCCCTGGACTACCAGGGGAAGCTCTAGCCTCATGTTTCTTATTTGTGTAATGGGGATAAAAATCCTGACCCCCACAGGTATTGTGAGGATAGAAAATAATATAGAATTCCAAGGTTAATGGGGTTTAGAAATCCACACCTCTATTTTACAGCAATTCAGCAAATTAATTCAATAGATATTTATTGAGCAAGCTGTGGGCAGGTGCTGGGCTCTGGTGAAGAACTCCAGAGCCCTGAGATAAAGAGGTACGTTGATGCGAGGGGGACTGGGCTCAGGATATCTAGCCCCCAGATTTTCCCCTGAAAAATAGCTATTCCATGTCTGCAGAGCTGCAAATGTGAGAAGCACCATTACCATGATACTCTGCCCTGGGCAGCTGTGTCTAGGACCCAGTCCAGTTGGCTATCAACTCACCCCTTCTCTCCAGCTCTGGGATAAAACACACAAAGCTCTTAAGCCCCTGGCCAGAGAGCAATTCTGTCCCCACCCCCAACCCCATGCATACACTCCAGGTCACTCAATTCCAGGGAAGAGCAGGGACTTAGGGAGCAAAAACCAGGGGAAAGTAGGTCACAGCAGGAGGATGGTAATCCCCTTGATGGCTGGCCAACACAACAGTGGCCCTGCTCCTGGAAGCAGGCTGCTCCTGGCCTCCTACCTCAAGTAGCTCTGGGAAGATTTTTGGGCTTTGGAGCCCCAGCACCATCCCTCTCAATAGTATGCTCAGGTTAAGAGCCCAAAGAGGACACACCCTCCATACTGAAGTCATTCTTAGGCCAAGCTCTTGCTGACTGTAACATTTCCTATGCAGGTTTTAGTGATTCTGTTTTTCATTCCACACACTCCCACAAGTGCATTCTTTATACCCACCCCTATGTTGGGTGCTGGAGACACAAAGAGGACCCTTGGGGAATCCATGGTGGGGAATTCTGACCTAGACCAAGACTAACAAGCCAGTGAGCCAGTGCTATCAGTATTGAGACAGAAGAAAGCCTGGGAGCTGTGTGGACCTGAAAGAGGCTTCTGATTCAGCCTGGATTCAGGGATAGGGAGGAGGGGATCCTGAACAAGAAGTAGGAGTTTGCCAGGAGAAAATAAGGAAAGGAATTCTGAGTACAGAGAATAGATGTATAAGGATCCAGAGGAATAAAAGTCTGGCATTTCCTTCCAGAAGATGCTGGTGGTCAGCAGGGGTGGATCTGGGTTTTTTTGGCCTGAACTTTCAGAAGATGGGTAAGGAATGGTTGGGAGAGCAAAGTGGGGATAAAAGTACAGGTGAAGGAAGTACAGGAGCAAAGACAGGGCAGAGTGAGTTAATTGAGGCATCTTAGCTAACTGGAATGAGAGGGTGTTTGGGAAGCTGAAGTAGGGCTCCTCTGGATGAAGTAGAGTGGAGGTCTCTTAGAGGCTCCTGTCACCCTGGAGCCTAAGCGAGGGTCCTACCAGGCCTGATTCTGTCCTAGGGTCAACAACCTCCCAGCACGTGCTTTAGTGCAAACCTGGCCTGACAAGTCCTGAACTTCCACCCGTCCTCCCCTCCCAGCTGATTCCTCGGGCCCCTCGTGTAAAGTCCTCTCCAACTCAGCCCCACTTCTCCTCCACCATTTGTAACTGTCTTCTTTACCACCTATCACTCTCTATCATGCTTCTTCTCTGAAACCTCCCCTTACCCCAAGGACTGAGCAGGTAGATCATTCCTCTGTGCTACTATAGAGTGGGAGTTACTCAGTAGACTGAATAAACCATCCTACATAGACACACAGCTGACTGACAAAGGGCCTTGCAGACAATGAAAAGGAGTTTAATATCGGGATCAGTTGTTCAATGGAGAATAAAGTAGAAGCCAGTGAGGAGGCCATGGCAGTGTTCACTCAAGTCACGTGGGGGTGAACTTAGAGGGTCCCGGCAGGGATGGTAGAGGGTCTCCCCCTCTCTGAGGCCTTCGTCTTCCCTCAGGATTCTGCTCATGTTGAGTCTTGCTCTTCTTCTTCACCATGAAGAACAGGGGCTCCTCACACAGGGCACATTCATCTGTGCTTCCAGAAAGTCCTCCAGGATTTCTCTGACCTCATGCAGCACACCTCTTCTCAGAAAACAAGCTTGTGCAGAGCAGAGGCCAGAAGAACCCTCATTGTGACCCAGTTTCTGACGCTCCCGATCACCTCAGAGACTTGAATGTAGACTCCAACAGGGGTTCCCTGTCTTCTGGAACAGGCTCCCCTCAGATGAGCCATAACCCCAGAGAAGGAGAGGAAAGGGTACTTAATCTGAACTGTGTCTTGAAGGCTAAGGGGGTAGTTCAGCAGAGGGAGCACGAGGTGAGATGGTCAGGAGCCTGGAAACTGGGAGAGGGGTGGACTGGCTGGGGGGG